GGAGGTGCCAGACTGAGTGGGCTTTCTCAACATGGCCTTGTGTTCTTATGTCTCTTGGCCAGGTCGGTGAGATCAAGGCCCATGCAGCCGAGTGGAAGGCCAATGTGACCGCCGAGTTCCGGGAGACCCGGCGGCGGCTCAGTGTGGAGATCCACGACAAGCTGCAGCGGGCAGCCACCATCCGCAGCATGGAGCGCCGGCGCCTGGGCCTGGACCAGCGGGCTCACTCGCTGGACATGCTGTCGCCCGAGAAACGCTCTGTCTTTGCTGCCCTGGACACGGGCCGCTTCAAGGCCTCCTCCCAGGAGAGCATCAACAACCGGCCCAATAACCTGCGCCTTAAGGGGTCGGACCAGCTGAACAAACACGGGCAGGGGGCCTCTGAGGACAACATCATCAACAAGTTTGGGTCTTCCTCCAAACTCACCAAGAGGAAAAACAAGGACCTCAAAAAGACTCTGCCCGAGGATGTCCAGAAAATCTACAAGACCTTCCGGAATTACTCCCTGGACGAAGTGAAGAAGGAAGAGGTGCTGGGGAAGGTGTGTAACTCCGACCATTCCAGCACGGCCATGCTGACCGACTGCATCCAGCAGCAGGCCGGGGTGGAGAACGGGATAGTCCCCACGGACACCAAAGATGAGGAGCTGGAGAACAACTCCCTACTTGAAGACAGAAACTAAATGTGGAGGACTTTGAACTTGAACTAAGCGTTGATTTTTGGTTGTTGTTGTTTTTTGTTTTTTTTTAATATTCACACTGAGACACGTGCCTTAAACTTGACTTCTCGTTAGTCTGAAATTTACATAGCATCGAAGACTCTATTTCACTGTGCCATAAACCATCTGAACACCTGCTCTGTCTGCCGCAAGGAGTCAAACAACCTCGCTTCCGATTTCTGAGAACGACAGCAGGGCGCCAGGGAGCATTCGCATCCTGGGGAGGTGACCGCTGTTCGTGGGGAGGGAGTTTTCGTGGCGATGCTTCTGTGGCTGTTCCGTGGCCCTTGCCCTGGCCAGGCACTTCCCAAAGGGCAGCTATTCCTTAGACCAGCCTTCTGAAGGGAAGACGCGTGTCTTGTAAGTGGCCTCTCATGTCTTGAACCTACCATTTAGTGATGTGTGCACACTGAGAAAGGGACTTGGTGGGGGTGAACTGGTAACTGTACCCTGGCTTAGATGTGACATTGCGGCTTGCGCCCCGAGCTTGAATTTTGATCCCAACCGTTCCATGCATACCTACTCTTTTGAAACTCCAAATGAATGTCCATGGGACTCAAGAGCACACGGACCCTGTGGGAAGCAGATCAGAGCACACGCTGCAGTCAACGGTGCAATTGCTTTCCTCTTGACAAAAGAAAAAACAAATCGCCACAGACACAGCCCACTGTGGGTATCACTTTAACCAATGACGCAAGTCTACCGGTTTCCTTCTTTCTCCGAGGGATAGGGAGTCCAAATAGGCTTGCAAGCAGCGGTGAGAACTCAACCCGGTCAAAGGCTAATATGCATTCTCAATAGGTCAAGTGGTGACGAGGAACTGGTTCTGAAATAGCCACGCGCTCACCTTTCTAGGGGAACTTTGGTTATGACTTGCTTTGATAAGAGGGGTGGAGGAAACACCGAAACTATTGCCTTGCATGATGCCAGCAGCTTGCTGTTCTGTCTAGCCGATGCTACCTTTGATGACAGTAGCCATCCTTCGTTTCTGAGACATCCCGAGGAGGACCATGGCATCATTCCATCTCAGGGCTTTCTGTCCCTTTGGGTGTCTTAGGGTTCGACCTAGTCACGAAATCCAATCTTGTTAGCTCCCAACAAAATGAAACCCAATCTCTTGAACCACCCCTTGTATCATAAAATTGAAATGTTTTGATTGCTTGCAGTTTAAGTGCCATTACCGACATTTTAAAAAAATACTTAAAAAGAACTATTTAACCTATTTAATTTTGCTTTTATGTTTGGGCATTCCTTTATTCTGAAATAATCCTACCCCCACCCCTCCACCCCCCTTCTCCCACCCCAGTGCCTGCTTCTTGGGTTCTTGGTCTCACACTTGTTAATTATTAACATTCAGATACCATTGTGAAAGACAAACACTAACTTACATTTGAAAATGTTGACTGTTCCCTGAGGTTAGAATGGCCAGTGAAGGAAAGTGGGAGGTGACTCATCATAGGCTTAAGTAGGATGTTGTTTTGTTTTTTTTTAATCTATCAGAGAGGGAAAAATATGGGAGCTCTCTATACCAGGCCATCATCTTATGTGTGCCTGAGGCTTCATCATGATTGGCTGAATATTGTACCGACTCCAACTTTTCTAATTGGGACTCGCATTGTGACCTTGGTTCCTTGCAACACCAGGAAGTTCCTGGTTATGGGCTCTCAGGCTCAGTGCCAGCTCTGGGGCTTTGAGATAACTATGCCACAGAATGGATTTTCCCAAAGATCACATGACTGTCAGGGACTTCCAGGGATGATCTAAAGCTCTCTGGCTTAGGGAAAGGGGGGCATGTACTCATCACGTGCTTGACTCCTGGTACCATGGAAGACCTTTCTGTCCACTTTCTCCCAAAGGGACAACTCTTCCCAGAAGCCCACAGTCCCCTCACCCCACCCCTAAACCTTTAGACGCTCATTGACGTTTTGACACTGCTCTGAGGAAGGAGTCAAATCTACTGCTTGCCTTTGAGGATGCCCTTCCTGGTACAAAGTTTAGGTTGGCTCCTCCATTAGGCTGCGGGGACATCTCAGTGGTGGCAGCTTGTGTTCACGCCATGAAAAACTGACCCCTAGGAAATGTTGATATGGGTGTGGGCTTCAGTTCTCTTTAGGAGAATGGGCCTAGCCTAACAAAACTTGGAGGAATCGATAGATATCCAACTTTCTTTCTTATCCCAACAAGTTAAAGGTGTCCCGAATAAATGGTTTGCGGATTTTACTCTGTTGCTTTCTTGAGAGTAGTGTGTTAAAAATTCGAGGCCCGACAGCCAAGTTTGACAAAGGGGCTTCGTTGTGGATAGCTATAATTTATGGAGGAGTCCTGGTGGGCTACTAAGGGCAAGGTCAGCAGTTTGAAATCACCAACCACCTCATGAGAGAAAGATAAGGCTTGCTACTCGCATGAAGATTTTCAGTCTCAGAAACCCCCAGGATCAGTTCCACTCTGTCCTAGAGGGTTGCTTCAAGTCAGAATTGACTCTGGGGCAGTGAGTTTGGTTGGGACCTGGGGCCTTTTGTGGGCCCGGGACTGTACTAGGCACTTTACATATGCTAGCTCACTGAAACCTCTCGGCAGCACGATGTGGGAGTGTTTGCAAACCCACTAGACGGAACAGGACACGGAGGCTCAGGGAAGCTACATGACTTACCCAACGGCACACAGCAATTAAGTGGTACAGCTGGCATTTATAGCTTGTCTGACCAAAGTCTGCTTTCAACGTTGCTACAGTGTCCATCATGTACCCTCTATGTGTGTGTATGCATGTCTCTGTGTGTGTGTTTCTAGCTTCATGGACACAGAGGTGGGAGAGGTTGGGAGAAGTCTTTACCACCCAGAGAACATGAGGTCTTCGTGCAAACATGGCTTTAATGTGATGTCCTTTGTAGACCCTTACTGTGCAATTTTGGGGGCGGGGTTGGGAAGGCCAGGGATGGGTTGGTTCTGGAATGTTCTATGTGGCACCCTTCCTGTATTGTTAGAAATGCCCTTTGAAAGCACTCTTTTGCACTTTACTTGCTTACCTTGCAAGCACTGCCCTGATAGCAGGAATACGATAATTCAAAGACTGAGCTGCAGGCTCTCCCAAGTGGAACAGGTGCAGAGGTGGGTGTGCTGCAGAGATACTTCTTCAAAGGAACAGAATTGTAGTAGGGGGAGAAGGCTTCCGAAGAGCCCCTGGGTTAGGCGTGGGAACACCCTCAGCCTAGTAATCCATTCCCTGAGCACAGATGGGGTCAAGCTCCTGATGACCAAAGTCAAAGGAGAACCTTCGGAGTGGGGCGGGGGGGTTCATCAGAGAGGTGGGCAGTGTGTTTGGCAAGCCCTGTGGTGAAGTCCTCACCACAGGAGATGATGGGAGGGGACGAGAGGTGGGATCCCTCTTTGTTGTGTACAAGCTAAGCTTTGGGGAGAAGCCAGTTAGGCTGGCTGCTCTGAAGTTGTTTGAATGTTACCTTATGTTTAGACTTGGCCAAATAGCATGCAGAATACCTGTGATAAGGCAAAACTGCTACAGACTAGACACGCAGACAGGCACAGCCTTGCCTTCCACACACTGAAAGGGAACATTTTGATTTGATACGTGGACCGAGCAGTCGTCCGCACAGTGTCCGTGGTCGGTCTTTTCTTCACGTGGTCATTGGGCACTGAATGCATTAGGGAAGGCCTGCTGGGGGAGTCAACAGGTGGGCTAGAGAGATTACCATCCAGTCCTTCCATCTCCATCCAATCGTGATTCCAGGAATTCCTCACTATTGGGGCAGGACCACAGAGTAGGGATGCTGAGGCATCTGTACTCAGCCAGCCACAGTGCTTAGATCACAGTCACTCTCAAGCAAAGCAAAGGACTGGAACACAGGTCACCTTCAAGTTCACGTTTCCATTGATTCTGTTGAACTCAATTTATTAAGAAAGCTATGGGTTGGATTTGTGAATCCTGGCTGATGGTCTCATTCATTTTAAGATGGGGTGAGCTCTTGGGTCTCCTGTCCTTTGGGATGATAGGTAAGGACCACATGCCTTTGGAGACTGGGCTCCAGATTAGGTTCACTCCGCCCTCTTTTACAACTTTTAAGCATTCGGTCACCAGGAGGCCTCTTGCTAAGGGGGCTTTTGTTTTGTTTTTTTGCATGACATGAAGACTGTTTGCAACAACTGTAAGTGAATGCAATTTGCAGATTGTTCTAATAACGGCTGTCTTTGATTGCTTTGTAAGTGTGTGTGTTATAGGCATCAGACCTCCTTCTCCTCCTCCTTCTCCCCCTCCTCTCTCTCTCACACAAGAAATGGTTTCTCTGGGTTCTGTGAGAGACCCCTCCACACTGAGGTCCTAGTTGTGTTGGTCATTAGCGAACCGCCTTCTCTCCTGTGGAGACACCAGTTCCTGCTGAAGCCAGGACTGCCCATCTAGTCCTATGCCGGACTCGGGGGTTGGTGAGTATGTGGTCAGACTTTGGCTGGGCCAAGGACCATGAGCCGTCCAGTGTGCCCGGCAGTTTCTGAGCCACAGGGGAGACGTAGGAGAACCCACCAACCTGCAGACGGCTGCTTTCAGAAGAAGGAAATCAGCCTGGGTGTGTTTTGTAATTTTGTTCTCTGCATTCCAATCATGTGTCCAGTAGAGGGGTTAGCCTCACTCACAGTTAAGATGCGAGTGTGGGTGAGGGTGGAGGGTGCTCCTTCTGGGAGCTGTCGGCTAAGAGCTAGTTGCTGATGCCCTTAAAAAAAGGGAGATGGTAGCTCTGTGAAATAAAGGCCACTTTAGTTTGCCGTGGTGGATGCTCTTCATTCTTCATACCAAGGCTTTGGAATAGCATGCTACTGGCAGAGCTGCCCATCAAGCCCCCACCCCGCCACCCCAACACCATCCTTGCCCATTGAACCAACCCGCCCCATACTCTGCATCAAGCTGTCCTCCCGTGGCAGCCTGTGTGTCCCATGGCATCCGCACAGTGACACTGCGGAGAACGCCGTGCCCCTGACTTCACCGAAAACGATGATCATTTTCACAGGTGCCTCAGAGATTGGGAATCTACTCTGTGTTTTCAGGTCTCTGTCCATTTCAAACAATCCCTCGGGAGGACTCCTGCTCCATCCAGACAGGCCACCTGTGCTGCCGGGGCCCACGGCAGACCCTCCCCTTCGCAGGCAGGGCGCTGCGCTTGCAGGGAGGAGGCGCAGTGTTGCCTAGAAGCTATATGCAAACCCACCTACCTGACAGCCTCTGGTCACTTCCCCGTCCCAGGGTCACAGGCAGGGGACCCAGTGATGACTACAATAAACCCATGTGTGGAGGTGTTTCACCTATTTCTCTCTCTGTAGGATTTCATGGTGCTTAAAAAAAAAAAAAAAGGCATTTTACAGAAAATAATGGGGCAGGGGGATTTTGTAATGTTGTTAGGAAAAGTACAAAAGCAAATTTGCTTGTAACATTTCAATAAGCTGTGCTGCTATTGTCTTTATTCGATGATGTAATTTTTTTGTTTTGTTTTTGTTACCTTTTTTTTTCTTCCCCTCTTTCTCAATGATGGAGAAAATGGCAACAAAGACCTTCTGGCAGATGCACTCCAATGGCTCGCCTGTTTTCTTTTGTGGGGCCAAGCATGATTCGTAGGGGCTGGGTTGGAAACCTTGCTCATGACCATCTGTTTTCTGGAGACAGAGCTCTTTGCCGGCTGTGCACAGCCCCCTAAACATGCCTGTGTACAAATGACCCTGCTGGAGGAGGAGCCCAAAGCAGTTCTTGAGGAGGAATCTTAGCCCAGTGGGGTTATAACATGGTTACTTTCTCCTCCCTATTTCTATCTGATCTTCATGCCCGTGGCTGGAGAGCAACACAAGCCACATTTGCTCAGGCACAAACTAAGTGTGGGCAGTACCCTAAGTCTACCAAGATGAGATGAATCATGCTCTGGGGACCGATGCTCAAGCTGTCTCTGTCTCCACCCTTGCTGGGTGGGCCACCTGCCACGAGCATGTCAGGTTGAGATACACTGATGACCATCCATGAGCATGTTGTTTGTATTCACTATTACAGTGTGTGTGTGTAGGTGGTGGTGGGGAGCAGTCCCTGGGTAGTGCAGATGGTTAAGGGCTTGGCTGTGGAGAGGTTGCCTATTCGAGTCTACCCACAAGCACCAGGAAGAAAGGGCTGGTGGCTTGCTACAATGTCCCCTGCTTTTGAAAACCCCACGGAGCCCAGTCCTACTCTGCAGCACCCAAATTGGAAGGGA